GGCAGCTGCTGCCGGCCTCCTTGGAGGCGCGGGCCAGAGGGGACCCGGAAAAGGACTCGCTGTCGCCGTTCTCTGAGCCCGACCCGGGCCGCACCTCCGGGGACGATGTTCCGGGGCCTGAGTCTGCGCAGTCGGGCGATAAAGGCTTCACCTGCGGAGGCTGAGGGCTGCCTGGACGGCCTGCCTGAAGCAGTGTCTTGGGGAACAGGTCAAACTTCTGCAACTTGGCCTCTGAGAGGGGAGAAAATAGGAATGAAAGGAGAGATTAAAGAGAACACAGCACCTCAGCCCTTAGGGTCCCAGTTTTCCTCTTCCTGAGCCCCAAACCAGGGTTCACTGTGCCCTTCTTCCTTTTTTTCCAGCACCCCCCCCGCAGCCCCATGTGCCCTGACTCGCTCTTCCTATACCCGGAACCCAACCATTTGTGCCTTCTAATGTTCAGGGCTGCTGTGCCCCAACGTTCTTAGCTCTCTTCCCAGGTACGACCTGCCCTGGAAAAGTGGCCTGGTGCAGGGTTCAGACAGGAGCCAACTTAGTTTCTCCCTGTACCTCACGCTGTCTAGAAAATTCCTACTGTTTCCGGATTCCAATAGCCAACCTTTCTGGGCAGTGCAGCCTGGAAGGGAAGACATTTTAGGTATCCAGGGGGTTTCAAGCCTCTGCAGACAGACAGACAGCTGTAAAACTCTATTTCTAATCCATCCTTTCCAAAACTGAGACCAAAGAAGCTCTCCCTAAACTGAGAGCTGAGCCCCTGTGACTCGACCTAATTTCTGTTGTCCCCAAGAAAAAAAACCCAGGAGTCCAGAAGAGGAGGGTGGGTCCAGCGAAGAGTGGACAGCAAGGAGGAAAAGGGATCTAGGGAAGGGAAACAGCACACGTTCTGCGAAAACCGGGTCTTGCGTGGGGGAAAAAAACTAGAAAGAAGGCGGGGGGCGCCGCCTGCGGTTGTTCATGGGCAGTTAGGAACGTGAGAAATGAACTGGGGCGTCTTCTGAACCTAGGAGAAGCAGTGCTGGCCCGGGGACTTGAAGAAATTAGGATTTCCGGAAAGAGTTGGGAAGGAGCAGAAGAGAGGGAAGAGTGCTGCGTGCAGATGCCCAAAGTCTAGTAGAAGACGCGTTGTTTTCCGCCCGCGGGGGCACCAGAAGCAAGTGGGTAGAAAAGTAGGGACCGGCCCGCCTCCGGGTAGAGGAGGTAAGAATAAAGTGGCTACAGTTGGACCCGCAGGGAGAGCGAGTAATAAAGAGCAAAGGCTCCAGAAGGTGGAGAAAGGAGAGTTTGTGCCTACACTCCTAGGAGCTGGGTGCGCGCTGAACTCTAGAGTTCGGGAGTTTGAAGAAGGAGATTCTACTCTCCTTGGAGACGAATCCCTGCCCCAGCCTCCCGACCTCGCCCCCGCCCACCTAACCGCGCTCTCACCTGCGCCCCCTGCTCCCGCTGCGCCACCTCCGTTTCCCGCCGGCGCCCCGGC